TTACAAGTTGCAACCCGTCCACCCATACACGGTACACCGTACCTAGATACCTTACTGTACAATCATCACTCACCAAGCATCGCCGTCCATCCCTCGCTCGCCCAGCCGGTACCACCCACACTCGCGCACAAGTCCCCGTCCGCCCGATCACCTAACTGCTTACTCTGCACATCCTAAGCAGAAGCATAACGCCGTAAGGCCATGAGGTAGGGATGTAGGCCGTCATCAGCTACACCAAAACCCAAGCAAACAACGTGCCCGGGCCGCATATTGAGCCTCTCCTTTCCACCACAACATCCGACCGCGCCGCCATCGCCGCCGGCGCAGGAACGCAGGAACCATCACTTGCATTCAGGGCCAGGAACAACCGGTGGGACGCGGCGGACACGCACAGAACAGAAGGAAACTCTCAGTCTGCTACTGCTACACAGGCACTGGCTCTGTGAATCGTGATGCTCAGCACAGACCGCGGCCCATCTTCAATGGACCATACTAAGACTCCCAGGGACCACAAGCACGGGAATCTGTCATCCATTCTCAAGTCTCCATTGTGTCGAAACCGACTCAGCCCTCCCGATATCATGTCCGGCATTCAGTACCCTACTTCAGGTTGGACAATTGAGTTCGAGGTCCAGCCTTGGCGTCAACGGCTCCTGCATTTCCACGCTCCTGTCGTCTATCTGCCCCTTTTCTTGTGTACATCTCACCCTTTGTCAGAGTCTGAGTCCCCCTCTTCCTCCCCTGGCCCACGACAGAGCGAGGCCATCGCCAGACCAAACGGACACTTTTCAAGGTCCCAATCACCACCCCAACCATGCAAGGTACCTAGCCGTCTAACCCCTTCCCTGGGGTCACGGGTGGACCATGACCATGCTCCCGCATCTCAAGCGTGCACAAGAGGTGGACTGGGAGGGGGAACTAATACATCAGAACCATCCCCTCGGCGGACTATTCTACCGACAGGACCAGGCTTCAAAGAGACCCTACGTATCATCCCAGCAATGCGGCATTCCCGCCGAAGGTGCCTGTCTGCACGTACAGCTGCCAAACCGGTTACTGTCAGGGCCATTTTGACGACGTCCGTCCGCTCCCACGGCTCTCAGCTGTAGATCTCGCTTCACATGCATCTAGGCCCCCCTCCCTCGCCTACATACATCCCGCGCCTGTTTGATGAACCCAGTCGCCCATCATCTCGAATTAGATCAGGTCCCCACCCTCAACGATACCCCGCGTCCATGATGACAATCTTCCCACCGGTTGCCCTGGCGTGCCTGGGTCATGTCAGTGCCCTTTTCCCCCCAGAACGCCCAGAGATAGTTGGACATTCGAGAAACACCAATTCCTCCACTTCTGCTGGGCATCTCCAGCTTGAATCATTGTCTTTGGCTGACAAGCTTCGCGGCGACGGGGGCCTTTGCTTTGGAATCACTGATAACAGTCTAGAATAGCCCTTTGCCAAGCTCTGTTTCTCCAGGAAACAACATCATTACTGGAATCTACGGTACGCAGTCTCCTCGTCCAGACAAGTCTGCTACCGATATTGTATGACTGCGAGCGAAGAAGACGACCCAAGAAAGAGGCCAAGTAACCACTCGGAAACCCCCCCTTCCTTCTCGATCTCCTCATACGCGCCTACAATGCGGCCTTTTCGCCAAAGAATGTGATCGAGATATCCCGAATTAGCAACTTCTTGTTGCGTACGCCGTACGGCGACATCAACAGGTCCGGTAAACCCATGTCAAATATCCCGTCTCGTCACAAGAGGGTTCGTCTTTCTACAGAGCAGCAGTCATCTAATTCGTCCGGGGAAAGATTCAAACTAAAGCAAGGTCGAGCCGATAACCGCTGTCGTCGCAAGAATTCACAATTATGTCTCCGTCCCATCATCAACCGGCAACACGCCATCCCACCTTTTTTCATTTCTAAATCAAAATTTAACCATATCATTAAGTTAAGCGCCGGCCCATTCCCAACGAGCATGACGCTAGTCCAACATTTCGGAGCCGGGTTTGGGTATGGGGGTTGGGCAGAACGAACGAAAATGCTTGACTTCACATCTTTCTCCTCCGGCACGGCGTACCCACCCCGGTCAGGTTATCAAAAAACTTGCCGTGTCTGAAGCGCAAAAGAGCCTCTTGTATCCCCATCCATCCACACACGCATCACTTTCCCAGGTTTCCCTCTTTCTGGGTTGTGACGGTGTGAGCTCGACATGCATGTTTCTTCGAGGCTAGCAAAGAGACCGAAGGTGTTCCTGGGTGCAAATCCCAAGCCGATTGGCCAAACGCACCCTACGATCCAAGAAGCCCTATGCAGGTTGGTGGTGCAGACGTGCTTCTCCCCCTCTCCATGCCCCCCTGCGAGGTTGTCCAACCCATGCCCTGCGGTTCTAAAAATAGGTTTATTTTTAGCACAACACAACTTGGCGTGCATATGCTCACCTCTTGCTCCGCAGCCACGCGACCTGGCGACCGTTTCTCTTCCCCCCAAAAAGCCAAACCGAAAGGCCTTTTGAACCACACACGCACGCACCACTGCATCTCGGGAGCCAATTATCCCCCCTTGCCTTTTGTCGATTGATTACACGTCTTTTCCGACTTACACAGTACATCGACGTAGTCCGTAGGCTGTAGGCTGTCGGTGGGTAAAACACATCTGCTCCACCTCTGATATGTCTAGTCAATGTTTCCTGGCGCCGCAAAACCAGGCTGGGGGGTTTTGGAGAAACCATGCTCTCACACACCTGGCTTGGCAGAAGACTTGATATTCTCTCTGAGGAGCAGGCCCTTGTATAACCCCAACCACCAAACCTACCATCATCATCATCAGAAGCAGCAAAAGCAGCAGCAATCACCAACCACATGTTCATTGCAACCCGCGCATCCCACCGCGTCCCATCCCATCCCATCCAATCCACGCTTTTTGTTTTCTTCTCATCTGACTTTGACTTCCCTCCCCCCCCCCCAACCCCCTTCCCCTTTCTCCCTAATCAACCACAAACTGGTTCAGAGTTCCCTAAACCTTGCACGGATGGGTTTCCACACCCAGACTACGTCAAAAGAGGTCCCGGCCAAAGCAACCTCGATCTGACAAGCGGGACACCAAACCCCACCTCCAAACGGTCCAAATGGAAACAATCCCTAGGCCACCTCTCTTCCCTTTCCAAACAAAAAAGTCTTGATCGTTTCGGCGCGTCTAGAATGCCCTTGTTGGGGACGTGTCACTCATTGTTCCCCTCATCCAATCCCTCTTTGACGTCCTCCCCCCCCGCCCCTCCCCCCCTCCCCCCCCCTCCTCTCTCCAAAAAAAAAAGCTTTTTTGTTTTCGGGGGTAGGTAAGCTTCTTTGGTGGGGTAGTTGTACTCGCTGGTTCCTCCCACCAGCCGCCCTTTACCCCTCCCCCCCCCCCCCCCCCCCATCTCACCATCTCTCGAAGCTCGTCCTTGTTTCTTTCCCTAAATTAGCCCGGCCATCGTCCGTCGTTATTTACCCGATTCGCCAATCTGGGAAAGAAGATGATGGCGCCGCGAGAGTTCACGTTGATACATACACAAATCCCGGGTTCTTTCTCTCCCCCCCCCTCCTTCCTCGGACCTCTCCCCCACCCATGTTTGTGTCTAGGTATCTACACTACCCTTACCTGTCTCTGATCTTCCCGTCTCTCCAATCCATGTTCATCTTCTACCGCATCTAGTTCTCCCGGCAACCTGCACTACCTCCTCTTCACCTCCATGTAATCATCGGCCCATGCTAGCCTCTTCCAAGAGCCTCCCCTTACTGTCCTTCCCCATTCACCCAACCGCCCACACTAGCTAGCTAGCTAGCTACCCCGAGAATGGCATGCAATATCTAACCGGGGGGGGGGGGGGGGGATCCTCCAACCTCGGAAACCAAGGTAAGCTGGACCAACGCGTCCATCACTGCAGAGTAACGACACACACATCACCACAACGGAGAAGAAGCAGTAGTAGTTAGTTAGTCACTTTGTTGAAATGAATTTCCCACGCGTGTGATGAGATGGCTACTACCCACGCTTTACGCGGCTGTGGCTAAACTTAACAACACCAGACGCCGTGCCGATGCATCATTACATGCTTTGCTTAACCGCTTTGCCAACCCCCCCCCCCCCCTCCTTCCCACCATTCGGCATCGTTTTTTTCTCCCCTTGCTCGTCGTGACGTGAGAGCAGTCCATTAGTTCTGCCCCGTCCAGTTTTGACAATGTTGATCAAGCCTTTCCAAATTCCCCAAGCTCCAAGGGCTCGCCCCTCAGATTGTTTTCTTTTTTGTCATCGTACACACACCTTTTCCCCCCTTGATTGTCGAATTGCATGATGGGTTCCAATTTTGGATTGTTCGGTCCGACCTCTTGTATGAGATTTCTCTGGTCCAAACGCTCGCAACTACCCCAACCTTTCTTCAACATGAACTTTCCCAGTCTGTTCACTGTGCCTGAACCCCTTGACCCCTTGCGTGATATCGCTTGGCATAGCCCTATTGTTAGCAACCGGGTGGTTGCGGGTGGGGTTCTTCCCCCGTTCTGGAACGTTCGTCGGTAGTTAAGCGACCAGCTGCAGCCTTTGCTATTGATTATTTGGTAAGCGCCGGAAACAGCTACCGGCCGTCCGGTTGTTCGGAGTCTGTCGTCTCAACCGTATTTTAGTGTCCTGCGCTGCAACGTCTGGTCCGTTGGAGCCTCCGACAGCTGCCAGTTTCCGCCGTCCGAACTCAACGTCGTCTCGAGTCGTTCATTGCCCGGGAGAACCGGCTCCAGCAGCTGGGGCATTGTAGGTACCGAAACCGCCATGTTCTGCGATGCCGTTGTCGGTCTTCATCGTGCCGTTAAGCATAGGACAAAGCCTTTGCAAGGGTTAGTATGCGTGCATATGGAACAGAAGTCATGGGGGAAGTGGAGAGAAAGAGAAAGCATGTTGGGTAGGTAATGAGAGAAGACTGTGGAAAGCAAGCAACAGGTAGTGATGATGGCCAAGGGGGCATATGCTTATATGACCCTAGTGCTCATACTGCTGTTGTGCCAGTAGGGCTTGGATGTGTACTTGTTGTACTTGAACTTCTTTGCCTTTGGCTTTGGGGGCTGTTTTGGCTGTCCCTTGGACGATGCCCGCCTATTGGCCTTTTCTTTTGAGCGGTCGCGTATCCTGTGCTTTTGAATCCCGTCGCTTTTTTGCTTTGGCGGGGCTGGTGTTCGCTGGCGTGCCCTCAACAGGAGCTCCCGCTTGAGAACCCAGCGATTGTTTCCCCCACGTCTGAACATGCTCCGGAGATCTGAACTGGGACGGGGAGGTAGAGGAAAAGCAAAGGGAGCAATACTTCTTGTTTGTCTTGATGTGTCCGACTTGTCCACAATTGGCACACTTTCGGGTTGTACCGGTGGCAGCGCGGTCTGCTTCGGGGGACCCTGCGTCGAGTCCACTCTTGGAACGGTGGAGTCCTTTTTGTTGCTCTCGTCCGATGCGTCGCTGCTTGTTTCGGTTGAGCCGTTCAAGCTCCTTATCAATCCTGCTAGGTGGTCAATCAAGTGTTCAGCATCTACGGAAGGATAATGCCTACTCAACCAGACGACGGCGGTCGTCATCAGCGACACCAGTCGGTCGTCCTTCGTAGATACTAAACACGAGATTACGTGAGCGGGGAGCGCATGAAGGTTGAATAATAGACCTGAAATAGGATCGGGAGGGGGGTAACGCGGTGGGAGTTCGTACTTGAAATCCTCCAACTCCAACTCCTTCTTTCTCTTGATATAACGGTCTATAATCACAGGGTCTTCGAGAATGATGACCTTTTGCTCGACAGCACCTTGATCATTGAGAACTTCTCGGGTAATCTTGAGTTTCTTTCGCTGATTCCGGCTAGTCGATGTCGTCAGGCCGGTAATTTGACTCATCCCTTCGTCGGCATGGGCAGGAGTCTGGGCTCGCTGGGGGTTGAACCGGTCATCTTCGTCTGGTGGCAGAGGCACCACGAGGTCATCGTCCTTTTGTGTGCTATCCTCCAGACTGTCTTTTTGCTTGTCCCAAATTTCACGAATGCCTTTTCTGTACATGGCTTCTTGCTCCTTGACGTTGTAAGCGTGGCCGTTGTTCGCCTTCCGTTGTGCGTCAGGGTGTGCTGCCATGGCGTCAGCTGCAGTGGTATGGGATCCACCCTTCTGGACAGTCTCGATGTAGCCGCCCTTCATGGAAGTTCTGATAAAACTGAATCCAAGGCCATGGCCAGTCGGGTCTCCTTGTCCGTGAAGCTTGAGCATAGCCTTGCCAGCACATGCGTCGATGAAAGCCTTGCTGGTTTTCCACGGCGCCATCTTGTCTGCTAGTTTTTCTTCGTTCTTCTCGGCAGCCTTCTTACTACCCTTGGCAGTGCCTGCACCCGTGCGATCGTCGTCCTCATCCTCGGCAACCTCTTCGCCTTCGTCCTCCAGGTTGACGTTGTTAGGGTCGAAACCAGCGTCTTCCAGCATCTGCATACCCAACTGCATACCATCAATCAGGCAGACGTCTTCAGGCTTGATCATCGCTCGTATTGAGTTCTCATCCATGAGAGTCTCGCCGTTCCTAAGGCCCCAGAGTCCTTTCTCAACCTTGGCGTAGGATAGGAACTCCTTGAGCTTTTGCCGGTTTTGAGCGTCCGTAGACTCGGCAATATGTTTCGTCACCTCTGATAGGTTTACCAAATGGTGCTCGTTCCTCCTCATCATGCGGTACGAAATCATCTTGATTCTGTTCTTCGAAGCATTCGTGACTTTTCGAGAATGAGGACCGGGGACCTCAACACTAGGAAAAGTCTGGCCAACCACGTAAAGATGATCAATCTTGTGTAGGTACCAGTTGGCTCCGTCGACGCCCGTTGAGCTGCGAACACAGAGGAAGTCTGTAGACCGCGGCTTATGCTTGAAGATGGGCGCTCGGTACATTTGGTTGTGCAAAGTAGGCATGGTTTGTCCCACTTCGACCTCGCCAAAGATGGCGAAAGGGGATCTGTCTTCGGGCAAGAGGACGTGAGACTCACCAATCTCCATCTTTGGTGGCGTCTCTTCGTCATCGACCTTCTTTTTGCGGTAGTAGTTAATGACACGGTTTCCCATGCCAAAGTTGGAAAGAACGGGTGGCGTTCTCTCACAGTACTCAAAGAGTACAGCCGTCGAGTTGTCCGTTATGCCCAAGTCCTTGGTGGTTTTGAAGACCTCATGAGCCTTTCCCTTCATAGTCTTGCGCTTATGGAAGCCCAATTTGCTGAACCTGATCGTCTGACGCTCATGCTTGCCAAACTTGAAATGAGGCCGGTGGAATCCATCTCGTCGAATGTCCAGCTTGACCTTGTAGAACGGCCATGCCAGTTTAAGCGCGGGCATACTGTGCTCGACGGCAAGATTCCCCAGAGTTGCTCTGACCTTGTGCTGATGGTTCTCCTTGAGCGCCTCGTACGCATCGTCGTTGGACATGTTGAAACGAGAAGATAAATCAGGTCTCAGGTGACCGTTCGCCATGCGCGTCATCTTCTGCTCCACACGTTGACGCTTGGGGCCACGCTGCGATTCGGCTTCTTCTAGGAGAAGATATGGGTCATTCAAATCGAGAATGACACGTTTGGAGGCGCGCTTGGTCACATCCTCAAAGGAGTCGAATGATGGTGCGGTGAATCGAGGAATTTCTGGCAAGCCCTTTGGCGGTGGCGGGCGCGTCTTCTTCTTTGGTGGCGGCTTTGGCTCTTCATCTTCCATGAACTCAGCCTCCCAGTCGAAATCAAAAGCGTCATCATGGGCACGCTTGACGGAAGCCGCGGCGGCTGCCTCAGCTGCAGCCTCTTTTGCTTGTTGATCGCGGAAGTCTTGCTCAGCCTGCTCAATACGGATGGACCAGTCATCGCACACCATCTCAATGTCTTGGAGCGTAAAACCCGCCACTGCTTCCGAATCGGATTCTTGCTCGAGATTAAATTCTTCAGCTTCAGCTTCGTCTGAAGACTCTTGCGGAGCGCAAGACATGAGTCCTCTAGACTCGTCGTCGATGCGTCTCTGCTTACGAGTCACAGTCGCGGGTCCGGGGATGCGGAAAAGCTTCTCTTGGTCGGCGGCAAGATCCAGGGTGAGCTTGGAGAAGATAAGGGTCTTTGGCTTCTTGGTGGGCTTCTTCTCGATCCACCGGGCCTTCTTGGGAGGCAAGAGTTCGTTCCATTTCAGAATAACACCCTTCTCCCAGGTCGGCCAGGCCTGCTTGACCAAATCTTCAGCAGTCTCAGCTGGAGCAGGAATCTCGGGATCTTGGTTGGCAGCTTCGTAGCCAGGTTCAGGATCGAAGTTAATGTCGCGGTATTGTGATGGATCGGCGTCGTCGGGATCGTGAACGTGAGGGGCTGGTGACGGCGGACCAGGGACTTCGATCGGAGAAGACGGTCCATCGCCAAACAAGTCGTCGGTGTCGTTGCTTGTACCTCCGTCATCTGTCAGACCTGGAACGGACATGGAAGTGGCAACGTTGCCTTCGCCTTCCTCCTCGTCCGGAAGATCGTCGTCGCTAATATCCTCGAAGTCTTGGGCATCGTCGGCCTTTCCAGACTGGTCGAAAGGGGTATCATCAATAGTGATGCCGAGCTCTCCGCCATTCTGGAGTGTCGCGAGAGTCCGCTCGATTTGCTCTTCGTCCTGAGCATCCTGCGCCTTCTGCGCTTCCTCACTGCGAGGAGGGGATTTGGGAGTGTCGGCGCCCATGTTGTCGATGCTTTGCACAGATATCCACCCTCTGACACCTCCGATATTGTGCGCCGACCTGTGTCTGTTCTATACCATGCCTCGCGTGGTGTCTTCCGATGCGTCGGGGTCAGCGTTCGTTCGTTCGGAGCTCGTGAAGTCGATGGGGCGACGCGTCGGTCGGCTCTGGGGAAGCAGGAGGGAAAGTTCACGTAGAGCCGCAGAAATTTGGGTGACTCAGGTGCGATTTCTGCAGGGGTGCCTGAGGCGTCAGTTGTCAGCCAATTACTTTGCTTCGAAGAAGGCAGCAATGGCCAGTGGCCCGTGCCTGCCCGTTCTACCCCAGGTGGTCATCGGCAATGGGGTTTTTGTTTCTGTCATGGCATACCTAAAATCGACGGTGGAGGATGGTGGTTTTGCTTTCCCAACGCGAAGTTGAACCAAAGAAAATATCGATATATCGGTAAAGTGAAGTCAAAAAAGTCTGCTTGTGGGTGACAATATGGCCAAGCGTGCTTTCTGTGTTCGTAATGGCATTTGATGATGGTGGATGTGGAGATAAGTTGTGTGAGATGGTAAGAAGCTGGTCACCGCGGTAAGTCGACTTTGTAGAAGTTGGAAGCGGAAAGGAAAAGGCTTGCACAAGTAGGTACTGAGGTGCCTAGCTGAGAGAGACAGACAGCCCGAGGTCGTTGATGGACGGGAAGGTCCTAGGTAAGGTACCTACTTAGACAGGAGAGGAAGAGTGGGTCGTGTTCACTTACACGGGACGTCTCTTGAGGTCTACCTTCCTCAAGGTAGGTCCAGATTTCTGAAAACTTTATGCCTAGCCATGCTGACATGCCTACTTCATCTTCGAGTTGTAGTAATCTCCTATGCCTGAGATACTGATCAAGGCATCGTAACTTGTCCTTGTTCAGAGTATCCAGATCCATGGCAGACAAGGAAACTTTTGACAAGCTGCCACCCTTCTGTCCTTTCAAGACATCCATCTCCACATCAATCGCTTTTCTGAATCGCATTTCCCCAGACTCGTTCTTTCACTAATGCGGCATAGCGTCAAGCCAAATATGCTTCACCAATGAACAGGACAAAAAGCCACGTTTACTCTACCTACTTGTCCATTGTCGACTCCAACCTTGATTGCGAGTGGCTGGCTGAGGATCGACCCGCTCCGATCATCTCACGCAATGCGAGACAAGATCTGCTATAACATTCGCAACTCCGCAATCTACACGCGAAGAACCGTAAGCTGGTCGACTCCATTCCGACATTCGAATACATGTATTTCCAAATCGCTGCAGAGTAGAAATGCTATGCGAAGATACGCAGCAGTGAACGTTCGTTTGATACGTTTTTGTATTTTTCACAATCTATGTATCTCCGATTAAGGAATAGATTGCATACGCGTACAGATAGCATCCTTCCAAGACGGTCTTAATGCGAGGTAGTCTTTTGACGCCCACCGTCTGCCTCTTCCCTCTGATAGTCAGAAAAAAGCCTTTTGTGCAAACTCCATACGCCCTTTTCTTAGTAACGAGTAACAATGACCCTCCCGCCATACTCCTGCTACCCCTATCCTAACTTTGATCCCCAACGGGCCCTTGAATGACGGCAATCACTTGCAACGCTTCTCCACGATGCTGACACCGTTCTCCTCGTACTCCTTGCGCGAGATCCACATCTGGTGGAAGGTACCCAAGCTAGCCAGGATGCTGCCGCCGATCCAGGCGCCGAAGCGACGCTCGCTGGAGAGACCGGCAGCATGGATCTTGATCTTGAGGCCGGGGTACATGGCCGTAAGCTCATTGTTCAGGCGGTCGTTGAAGCCGTTGAGCAAGCTGGTGCTGCCAGTGACAACAATGTTGCCGAGGAGGTTGGGACGCAGGTCGACGTCGACAGCGTTCAGGGCGGCGCGGATGAGCTCGGGGATCGTCTGCGACTTGTTCAGGCGGAACTCCTCGTTGGTGGTCGGGAACGCCGCGGTCTCGTCCCACATGCCCTCGGAGACCTTGTACCGCTGCTCGCGCCACATCTGATTCGCGCCGTTGGGGAACTCAAACACGCGGCCGGGTTGCGTCTTAGCGAACTCCTCGTTTTGCGGCACGGCGTACTTGCCGGGTCCGCGCCAGGTCTCGACCACTGACTCCTTGAATTCCGTAAGGAGACGGTCGTCCTCGTAGGCGCGGAATGAGTCGGTGATGGAGAAGTCGAACTTGCGTTCCTTGAACTGAGCAGGAGCGCCTGCATCGACGGGGGTCTTACTCTCGACCATGTATGTAGGAACGGGCTCGATCTTGGGCTCTGAGGTCTCCCACAGGCTGCGAATCTGGGACGACAGCCACAGGCCACCAACGGGAGACTTCTGGATGGATCGCTTCAGGACCATGCCGTCATGAATAGCTGTAACCGAAGTGTTGGAGCCGCCGACGTCAATGACCAGGGCGCTCGCCTTGCCAGCGGCAAAAGCAGCCAGAACGGGCGTTCTGCTGAGCCAAAACGCAGGACAGCCCCAGTTCTCCATGATAATTTCAATGGCCTTCTCTCTAGACTTTGCAGAGTTCCACGGCGCCTCCGTCATCAGGAGCGGGTTCTCTTGCAGGGCCTTCTCTTGCGACTCCACGTCCTCCATGGCCACGTCGGCGTCGCCGTTGGCCTCACCTCCCTCGACTTCCTCCTTGGGGTCATCATTCAGGCCGTTCTTGGACGGGTGAGTCGGGCGTCCGGGCTGGAGGCGTGTGATGAGCATGTGCTCCCAAAGCTTGTTGGCGACATCCCAGTCCTCGACAACACTGTCGCGCGTCATGTAGTTGCGGACCTCAAGGTCGGCCCGGGGGATCAGGCACTCGTCGCCGAAGACGGTCGTCGGGGTATCGGAGGAGCCAACGCGGCCGTAGAAGGACGGGAAGACGGACTTGGGGACATCTTCGCCAGCGAATCCGGCGCGGGTGCTGCAGTAGCCTGGGTCGAGGACCAGGGCGGAGACCTCATCTGTTCGCGATGGTTAGATTGGGTCACGCGTAGAGTACAGCTGGCGGTGGGCACTTACCTCCTCCGTAGATGTCGGTCGGCTGGACGGCCGAGGACAGCGGTTGTTGGGACATGATTGCAATTCGACGTGTGAAGCGACAATCCACCGAAGTAATTGAGATGGTTCGAGGGCGGTGGGGTGGGTTGTTGCGATGCTTCGGTCGATTGAAGGTCGCGTCTGGTCAAAATTTGGCGCGGTGGTTGGAGGAAGGTGCAAGGCTGAGATATTCCAGCCACACCCCACTGTGTCATAGCGCGACACACTGTACGAGCTCTCGGTGAGAGCTACTGACCGAGCAGGGATGTCTACCATTAAATTACAGAATCGTCACATCCCACCATACAGCACTTGAGTATTGGGTCTAAAGAGCGGAGCCTCAATAGAAAGGCTATGCCATTCACTTTGGCATTTTGAAATATGATTGGACTACGAATCTCGCGCGCAATGGGTATCTCATTTTCGTTTTGATTGTATTCGTTTTCAATTAGTTGCTGATTTCAGGCTTCATGTCACAATATATTCGTCCTCTGACTCGAAATCTCGGCCTTCTCCGTAGAGAACTTCACACGCGCCGGCCAACGGTATGTCCATAACAGCATCCGTCCCCTCGTTCCATATATTCTTCCAGTCGTATCCTCCCCCGGGCAGCCTATGATCTCTCTTATTCCTAGACCTCTTCTTCGGGTCGTCTCTCAGCCGCCCCTTGCTGTCAATGACCCCAATCTTAGAGGCATCATCCACCACCGTCTCAATGGAGCTCAGCGGCAGCGTCAGAATCTCCGTATTGTACGCCGCGAGCGCGATGTAAATATAGACCCCCAGCATCGTGAGGAAAGCCGGGATCGCGAGCGACCACCAGCGGTTCGGATAGTAGTAAATGCCCAGCGCGTGGAGGAATGGCGAGGGCAGGTAGGACCAGAGCAGGTAGACGAGGAAGGTCAGCGTCGAGAATAGGTACAGGACGAAGCCGTAGTATTCGTAGGTCGGCACCTGCGGCGACGCGCGCGGCACGGGCTCAAAGTCGTCGTCCGAGGCATCGGGGGTCGTCGGTCGCGATGGGCGGAGGAGCGACGTCAGTGACGGCGAAGGAGGTAGAGGGGTTGGCGGGCGACCGTAGAAGGGGGGCGCAAAGTAGTTCAAGTTGTGATGCAGGGGTCGCGGGGCCGGTAGCTCTTCGTCGTCGTCGCTGGACTCGGAGGCGAAGGATTGGTTGTCGAAGAGGAGCTCTTCTTCTTCGTCTGAGGATAGAGACATCTTGGGCGAGAAGCCCGATTAGCCCGGCCTCTGCTATCAGTGTTGCGACAGTGGAGTTGTGGTGTTGCAAGAGGCAGAATCGCCATTTCCCCAGGTTGGCTCCAGTGGAAACCTAGAATTGGCCCTGTCCGTCCTGCCCCTGTCTGCCTACCTTAGGTAGGTACCTCTCATGCACGGAGTAGTGGGGCCGCTTCGTCCTCAAGGTCGGCGCCGATTAGGTAACTTTTTGAACTTCCTTTCTTCCCGTTCACCAGACCCTTGGTGTCATCTTCTGTAAATCCAACAGGTCACGAAACTCGTATTAGTCTACAAAGAATTCCTCTTCGATAATTAAACAGTTGGAGCAATTTACGCCAACATATTTTGCAGGTTCTCGTAGGAACCAATATGACTTAGAAATCAAGAAGGTGATTGTACCAGTGAACAGCCCAGATCACTTACACAATGTTTAAATTCAATGTGCCCTGCTTCAATCAAGTCTAGTTACTTTGAATCAAGAATTGACCGATCAACCATTTCCCCGGTCTTTGCCTTTTGATCTATACCGATTCTGACCAGCCTCTGTCTCTTTCCTCTCTCTCCAGACACATCGAGAAGCAAACTAATCCACCCGTGCCACGGACACACCCATCCGCATCATCTTCTCCCAAACGCCTGTCGAAACCAACCTATTCACAAAGTCAGAAAAAAACTCCGGCAAACACCGACGTCAAACTGGTCAGGAAACGGATACACTCACCTCTCCGATTCTCGTCTCTCCTATTCTCACCTCTCCTCGTGCCCGCCGGCTCAATCCAGACCCGATTCCTCAACCCGTTCCTCACCCTCACCGCCTGCGCCCACGTCAACCCGAACCGGACGCTATTATGCATACTACACGCCACGATCCCGCACGTCCGGCACCGAAAGTACACGGCGTACGCCCTCGACCGGCAGAACGTGCACGCCGGCGGCTGGACGCGGTTGTTCATGTCCTCCACCTCCCACGACGTCGGCAGGTGATGGCTGCACAGGGGGTCCTCGGCGTGGATCGCGAATACGGGCCAGGCCCGCGGTGCTCCCGCCCTCTCGCCCGGATGCGCGAGGGGAGGTGGTCGGCGTCTGTTGGCGCGGGGTTCAGGGCGCCACTCTCGGGTTTCCGGCTAGATTATGGGAGTCAGTCCTTGTCAATGGATGGTTCAGTGCTAGGTGGAGGAAGGTGGGAAAAGGAAACTGGTGTTCTCAGCATACCTCGGTGTTTCTGCCGTCTGGGTAGAACATGATGATGCTGAACCGTCCCCGGCCCTGTCGAATACGAGCTTCCCGGTCCATGTCGTATACGTTGCGCTGATCTATGAATTGTATTTCTCCCACGGGTTGGAGACCTTGCACTTGCGGCTGGGGAACTCCTACAAACGACAAGTTAGTCCCCCCAAATCTTGTTGATAGCCACAGGGGTGAAAGCGGCAGTCAGAGAGAATTGATACGGCTGGCGTCGATCGAGGACTGTATTGGCGGAGGAGGAAATGGCACAACCATAGGCTGAACCCAGATTGAAGTTGCGCGTGCCCCCTTTAAGAATGTCACATATTCCTCATCCGATGACTAGGCGTGACAGAGGAGTCACTTACCTGCAGGAAACGGCACCCACAAACCATCAAGATTTGCTTGTGGAAAGGGTTGAGCTTGCGGTTGGACTTCCGGTTGAACCTGAGGCGGTTGAGGCGGCGGCGGAGGAGGAGGGAAAGGAGGGTGCTGAAGTACCGGCGTGGGAACAACGAGTCGACCATCTTCCCCAAGTTGACCCTGCCGATACGTCGTCCTCCGATCCCTCATATTCACACGGCCCCAACCTCTGCAATTTTGCACACAGCCTCTCCTCCATATCCCGCCGCACGAGAAGCAGAACTCTTCGCCGCATACGCACCTACACGTCCCCTAGTCAGTTCTACTCCCGAAACCTCTTTACTTCACTTTGCTTTCCAGTATAGGAGGAGAGAAAGGGAAAGAAAGGGGGAGGCACAAAAAACTCACGTCATGTGCGTACACCCGCCCGCACGCTCGATAATCCTCCGACAACTAGGGCAAGGCGAAAAACCAAGCTCGTCCATGACATCCATCAACGCCGCATCCTCGGCCTCGGTGCCACACAGCTGTCCCGGATGGAGCGGTCTCCGACACTGCCGACACGTCCCCTGCCCACATGCAAGACAAGTAGCACCACCAGCAGCCGGTATAAACGCAGCACACTCCGGCCTAGCACAATACACCCTCTCCCCGCCCGGCGTCTCCTCCTCAACCCGAACCTGTCCATACAGCCTCACCAGCCGCGGCCGTCCCTCGCCGGCGGCCTGCTCGACGTTTTCTGGTTGTAGGGGCTGACAGCACCGCGGCGGCCAGCCTCCTGGGCGTAATCCCGCGCGGAGACAGCGCCGGAGGCAGCGGGGGCACATTCGGCAGCCGCAGGGGAGGCGGTGGAGGGGTTGTCGTGCCGTGAAGCAGACGACGCATTCCGTTCTGTCGTCGTTGTTGATGTCATTGTCTTCTTCAGCGTCTGAGGTTTCTGCGCTGTTGTTTCGAGTATCAGTCAGAAGGCGATTGCGTTCTTCCCAGCCGATATAACCTCCTGTACCCTCCATGACAACGTTACCGGCGTTATTGTTGGCATCGTTATCGTTGGCCTCGTTCTCATCTTCGTGAATAATGGCGTCGTCGCCTTCTGTTCCCATGACACTCTGTCTCATGGCAATAGCGAGCTGCTGATCCGGGGTAGCCATCTCGAGCGCCCTAACGGCAGCACGCTCGACCTCCCGTTCCGTCGCAAAGCGCAACGTGTCGAGGTTGAGGAAACCATGTTCAATGATGATGTTTGTAATATCTTCGTCGAGGCGTTGAAAGAGGTCCATCTTTGTAGGTTTGGTCTAGTTCCTTTGCGTTCCATGGGGCAAGGTGCTGCTCTATGAGTGTTGGCTATCGTCTCGAGGAGTATCGATGCTGGGCGTCTCTCTTCCTCTCTCTCTAACGGGCTAGTAGCACATTGCCGACCCATCGGAGTCACAGGCTGTCAGCGGTGAAGAAGTACTCAAAATGGACATGGAGTTTCCTTCATTCAGCGTCACGAGGCGTACTGACAATCCAGTGAATGTGTTTTTCCATCACTATACGGCCCCAGTCACTCTCAATAAGCACCGTACAGACTCCCTTCAATCCGAAGAATAAGAACCCGTATTTACATTATATGCACGATACATAGGATAGGTAGCACTTCATGGATTCATAGTGAAGCCACAAGGGGGAGGGAGGAGGGGGAGCTCTCGAACCATGCTTCTTTCGAAAATGAATACGGAGGTCGATGCTGGAATACGTGCTGCAGTAGATTCTTCTTCCTAGGCCAAGTTTTGCATCTTCAAATCGGCCTCAACTCTGCTGGGCAGGTAAAATGTATCTGTTTGCGAAGCTACTATCCGAGACTCAACTTTGCATATGAATCCATGAGAAAGGCACAAATCAACTAGATCAGTAACAAGATATTAATATTTCGTCGTGGGGCATGTGATAGACACGGCCAAAGTACCGGGACAGGATTTCCCACTTTCTACTTCGGACCCAAAGCTACTTTGTAAGGCACGTGTACCGTGGTGTCGAGAAATCATACCCAGTCACAGGTCACAGGTGTCATGGAAAACAGCAAAGTGTCATTGAACAGTGACGGACTGACTCGACTCAAATTGATAGATGACAAAAGAGCTGCCTTGCCCCTGCCTATCTTCTAGACCGGATGGAACCGGCCTTGTTCCCACCGCTCCGTCATACTAAGGTGTTATGCCCAAAGAGGTGGATTTGATATATCATCGACTCCCTTACGCCATAAAAGCTGACTCCTTCGTCAAACCATAATGGGATATTCTCGTCGACATTGACCGTGATATCTTTACTTGCTTTGTCCAAACGACCGCTGCGCTGCAATATAGTGGCAAGACCTGTTTCCGCCAGAATGAACCCCCAGAACCAACCGCCCATCGGTGGCTATGGCCAATGAACCCCCCCATAAACTCCAAACATTGTAAACTCCGACGCTGCTATCCGGGATATGATTTGAAATGACAAAGAAAGAAAAGAGTGGTAATAGTAACATCAGATATAAAGTAGAAGATGGGTATAAATGATCAATAACTGAAGTCCACATTACCCATCTGGGATAACATCTTTGCTTCCGCTTCCGTCGAGCTCGCAGTCGCGCCGGTGTTTGTTGATGTTGCTGAATTTGAATTTGTTTGTGAGGTTTGCGTCGTTTGTGAAGTGGAATTTGTCTGTGTTTGTTGCAGTTCGTGTTCCGGTGGGGGTTGACCACTAGGCGACCAGCCTTCGTCTAGAATCTGTTGGAAGCTCCAGCTGGGTTCGAACCTGGTGCTGTTCCAGGCGTAGTCGACACGTTCGTACATTTCATCAATCTGCTCAAGACTAATCTTACTGGTCTCGAAGACCATGCACCACACAAATAGAACGGCCAGAATGCAAAAGGCACCCCAGAGGAAGAAGATCTTGGGACCAATATCTGCATAGCCGGGTCCCTGACCAACCATGAATGGAGTACCGTATGCGATGCCAAAGTTCAAGAGCCAGTTGGAAGCGGTCGAAATAGAAGCAGCCTTTGCACGGATCTTCAAGGGGTATATCTCGGACGTAATGACCCAGCACACGGGGCCCCACGATGCTGCGAAGAAGAATATGTTGATGGCGCAGAAGACGATCAAAATGGTTTGCGCAGCCTGCTGTAGGTTCTCTCCGGCAGCTGTAGAGAAGGAGGCGATGAGGAGTTGACAGACTGCCATGCCGATGGCACCGACCATGAGCAGCTTGCGACGGCCCCAGGATTCGATGACAAGGAGTCCCGGGACTGTTCCAACAACATTGATGATGTTGATGATGAGAGCCTTCACGTAAGGGTTCTCAACCCTGGCGCCATCGAAGAAGGACGTGCTGTAGTACATGATGAAGTTGATACCCGTAAGTTGTTGCAGCATTTGAAGGCAACATCCAGTGAGAGTTCTTCGACCAAGATGGGGCGACCCATAAAAGATTTCCTTGTATGAGTCCGGGCCAAGTGTGAGTTCATACTCGTGGTTTGCCACGATTTCCTGGAGCTCGTCGAGTAGGGCGGGATGGGTAATATCGAGGCGACGGAGGCGACTGAGTGATAAACCCGCGGCTTCTGGCTTGCCCTTCTTGACAAGAAAGCGTGGTGTTTCGGGAAGGACGAGGAGACCGAGGGTCAAGACGACGGCCCACACGAGTTGAAGGCCAAGCGGGATGCGGTAGGCGGCGCCCGAGTCCAGCCTTTCGGTCAAGATGTTGACAAAGGACGCAGACAATAACCCAATCGTAATGGATAGTTGGTAGGCGCAGACGAGTGTACCGCGAATCCACTTCGGGGCCATTTCTGACTGATAGACTGGGACGAGAACTGAGATAGATCCGACGCCGACACCAGCAAAAAACCTGTGTGTTTGGTCAGCGACGCGTTGCGCGATGAGCCGACACAACCAATCCTTTAAGCATACCTTCCGACCAAGAGCATTGGGATGTCATGCGCGCAGACTTGGAAAATACCGCCAAAGCTGAAGACGCCGGCGGATAAGATGAGCGAAATGCGACGGCCCCAACTATCGCCGATGGGTGCGGCGAGGAGAGCACCGAGGACTGTCCCGGCACTTAGAATTGCGACGATGATGGAGGATTCGGCGGGCGAAATAGCAGGCTTCAGGTTTTCGGTATAACCGGTGGAAAAGTCTCGTCGGAAGGCCGTCATGGAGAGGATACCGTTAATCGTTCTACAGTCCGTCACGAATCAGCATCCAGGTCTCGGAAGAATCCCCCCACGAACACACGAATATGAGCACCAGCGCCATCGCGTTCTTTTTCTCGTCTCGTTCGTTTGTCGTTGACGGTGGTGCTCGATCGTATTCCCGCGTTGCGCATAGGGGTTTGCGTGTGCTTACCCAGTGTCGTAGCCAAAGAGCAATCCGCCTGAGGCGACGAACAGACCGACCATGATGGCCGGGGCCGACGAGCCGGCGACATTGTCGGGCTTCTGCCAGCCCATGGCTATCGCCATGGTGAAGGGGGGTTTCGGCTCGAGCAATCCAGAATGGAAGCGTTGTACTATGAGAGGGCGAAACTCTCGAGGGTCGTCGAGAATCGAGGTGGAAATGGGCCGGCGACCATTTGAGTGAAGTGACGGGCGACGGAGACGGGGACGGCGGGCGAGTGAAGAGTGGTGAATCGACGAAGTGTGGGTAACGATGGATGGATAGGATGGAATGGGACAGGACAGGCAGATGGGGTGTGGAGAAGGAAGCAGGGAGACAGGCGAAGGTAAGAAGCACGAAAGGTCGGGCAGTCGGGTCCCGGGTACTCTACGACTAAGGTAGTCAGTCAGTCAGTCCAGTCCAGTTCGGAAGAAGGAGCCACCAAAAAAGCCACCACCGCCCACCTACTGCGTACATACGCCCACCACAGTGGCACAGTGGGAGTCTGAGAGTCTGGGAGTTCTGGGACTGAGAGAAGGGGGGCGGCGAGGCACCTCAGAGGATGGGGGCCTGGGGCACAGAGAACACTGTGAACAGCGCGAGTCTGGGGTGTGTGGAACCCAAGACGGAAGATGAACCAGTCAGAAAGATGGAGGGCAAGGGGAAATATGGAGATGGAGGGCGGGCAAGAAAAGCAGCAAGGCTTTCCCTCTTCCAATTCTCGCCTTACCTCAGCACGCTCAGGTCAGCGCTCTCTCTCGAGTCTCACCCCCGCCATTAGCACACAGCACACAGCATCAGCGCGGAAAAAGCAAAGCAGAAAAAGCACCAGCAGTACCACAGTACGTAGCGAAAAGGTGACAGGGCCCATACGAGACGCAGCCATATAGGTACTTAATTCAAGTTGCGAGGTATGGGCAGAGAAAAGGCCCAATCAAGCTGCCCCGTGGACAGACTCAGAGTCAAACACTGTGAAGCCTCGACGCAACCAACAAGATTGACTTCTGCCACATCCACCTTCGCCCACCCATCTGCTGAAGGGACGAGGGGGGGAAGGACGAAGGACCCGTGGCACCGTGGATCAACACAGTTTTTTGAGGGGCTCTCCCCCCCTCGTCTCCCACAGCATGGGCGACTAGCGATTCTTGGGAACGAGTGACTGCGCCTGTCTTGTCCCCCTCGTCTTGCTCCTCTCTCTTGGGGACCTCGATTCTTGAGTCTTCTGCTAGGTCTTGTGCTTGGGTTTTGCTGCTTTTGCGAAGGCCCCAGCCCAGTGGCTGCGGCTCTAATTGGCTCCTTTGAGCAAGAGTGGTGCATCCGGCCGTGCTCACCTCGCCAGTCACATACCCCTTTCCCAAGACTATTCCGCATCTGGCGATGGCGTCTTTTACTCTTGTTCCCCCTTGGCGCCAGAAAATGAAAGGCGGGATGGAAATATGGACTTGAACGGGGCATTGTACCCATAAAGTGCTATGTAGTGAACATGCCTGGACCGTACGAATCTGTATTCGTACCTCGATGAGGTTCGCCAGCTTCCCAGCTTGCTGGTCATCTTATTCTGTGATACCTAGGGATTTGAATAGACGCTATTCTCTTAACTTGTCGGGTCTCCACAGTCGAGCCTCTTGAATTTGCTTGGAGCGAAAGCTGTTGTACGGGGTATAGGCGAGGTACCTAGGAGGCTGAGTGGCTGAGGGAACTGAGGTGTTACACACGCGACTGCACTGATGCATCTCTCTCACCAAAATGTAGTCAATCACCCACGTAACTTGCTGGATTATTTCATGGTTTGACGCTAGGTTTCCCCTTATTTGCGGGGGACGCTGAAGTCTGGAGGAACTTGGATCACGAGAAACTGAAGTCAATCCTGGGGCGGA